TTATGAACTTCGATTTGGACATCAACCCAAAGTTTCACATTTGCGTGTTTTTGGTTGCAAGTGCTTTGTCTTGAAATCTGGAAATTTGGATAAGTTTGAGGCACATTCTACCGATGGATTGTTTCTTGGTTACCCCGCACATACTCGTGGCTATCATGTACTTATTTTGGAGACTAACAAAATTGTTGAGACTTGCAAAGTTTCTTTTGATGAGGCTAGTCCAGGTACTAGACCCGATATTGCAGGTACACTGTCACAGGTTCAGGGGGAGGATGATTGTATTTTTGAAGACGAGAGCAACGACAACGACAACGACAAGGTCGGCTCGGCCGGTTAGACCGGGCGCCAGGCCGGTCAGACCGCCGGCACACCTCCGGTTAGACCGGCATAGGAGGTGCGGTCAGACCGGCCAGGGTCGTCGGCTGAGGGTTCTGTTGATGCTGTTTGAGATGGTCCTCTAGAGATTACAACTTCGACCAGTACTGATACAGAACATGGATCAACTTCAGAAGTCACTGCTCCTTTGCACATTTAACGACGACATCCGCCGGAACAAATCATTGGTAATATAGGTGAGCGGACTACAAGGTCTAAGGTAACGACTCATGATGTTTGTGCAAATTCTGTATTTGTTGCTTTTTTTGAACCCAAAGATGTGTCACATGCATTAACTGATGAATTGTGGGTTAATGCCATGCATGAAGAACTTGAAAATTTTGAGAGAAACAAAGTTTGGACTTTAGTTGAACCACCTTCTGGACATAATATTATTGGAACTAAGTGGGTTTTCAAAAATAAACAAAATGAGGATGGTTTGATTGTGAGAAATAAAGCTAGACTTGTTGCTCAAGGTTTTACTCAAGTTGAGGGTTTGGATTTTGATGAAACTTTTGCTCCTTTTGCTAGAATTGAGACAATTAGACTTTTGTTGGCTTTTGCTGCTTCAAAAGGTTTTAAATTGTATCAAATGGATGTGAAAAGTTCTTTTCTAAATGGTTTTATATAGGAGGAAGTTTATGTCAAACAACCACCAGGTTTTGAAAATCCTGATTTTCCCAACCATGTTTATAAATTATCTAAAGCTTTGTATGGTTTGAAACAAGCTCCTAGGGCATGGTATGATAGGCTTAAGAACTTTTTGCTTGCGAAAGGTTTTTCAATGGGAAAGGTTGACAAAACGCTTTTTGTTCTTAAGCATGCTGATAATCAACTTTTCGTTCAGATTTATGTGGATGATATCATCTTTGGTTGTTCGACTCACGCTTTGGTTGTAGATTTTGTTGAGACTATGCACAGGGAATTTGAGATGAGCATGATGGGTGAGTTATTGTACTTTTTGGGATTGCAAATTAAGCAAACACCTCAAGGTATTTTTGTGCATCAAACGAAGTATACGAAGGATATTTTGAGACGGTTCAAGATGGAGAATTACAAGCCAATTTCAACACCAATTGGTTCTACAGCTGTGTTGGATCCTGATGAAGATGGAGAAGCTGTTGATCAACAGGAATATAGAAGTATGATTGGATCTTTGTTGTATCTAACTGCTTCTAGGCCAGACATACAATTTGTTGTGTGTTTGTGTGCACGCTTTCAAGCTTCTCCTCGTGCTTCACATCGTCAAGCAGTCAAGCGAATAATGTGGTATTTGAATCATACACTTGAGTTTGGAATTTGGTATTCCACTTCATGTTCTATATGCTTAAGTGGATATTCTGATGCTGATTTTGGGGGTTGTAGAATTGATAGGAAAAGTACTAGTGGAACATGTCATTTTCTTGGTACATCATTGATTGCATGGTCTTCTAGGAAACAATCTAGTGTTGCCCAATCAACTGCTGAATCTGAATATGTTGCTGCTGCTAGTTGTTGTTCTCAGATTCTTTGGCTTTTATCTACTTTGAAAGATTATGGTCTTACTTTTGATAAAGTACCTCTCTTTTGTGATAATACTAGTGTTATCAATATTGCTAAGAATCATGTTCAACTTTCACGCACAAAGCACATTGATATTCATTTTCACTTTTTGAGGGATCATGTTGAGAAGGGAGATGTTGAATTGCAGTTTTTAGACACAAAGTTGCAAATTGCTGATATTTTCACTAAACCTTTGGATTCTAATCGTTTTGCTTTTCTTTGTGGTGAATTGGGCATAATTCATCCTTTTGGCATGGTTTGAGGGGGAGTTTGTACCTCATGGTTTTATCAAGTAATAATATGACAATGAAAAATTGAGAAAAGAGAGCTTTGTTTATACATATGGTATTTTCTTGTGCATGCTAGCAATACTATGAAGGTTTATTTGTCTCTAGCATAGCTTGTCTGTATTCTAATCTTTTCATGAGATTTAGATTTTACTTTTAAGGGAGATGATGCATGACACTTAAATTCTATACTTGAATTAAGTAAATATGCAATGTTGATGCTAGCATATGGTTTGATTTGTAAATGCTCTATATATATATGCTTTATTGACTTGTTATTCCTCAAATAGCTTTAATTGCTCATTGTGAAAAAGAGAATAAAAATATGAAAAAAATGAATACCGAATCCTTGGAAACAGTCTTGACGACAGGGATGTATTCGATGTGAGAAAAATAATGGGTGCCGAATCTCTAGAAACAGTCTTGACGACAGGGACGTACCTGGAATAAAAGAGAAAAATATGAGCAAAAAGGCTCAAGAAAAAGAAAAGTTAAAAAAAATTCTCTTGGTTATTTTGTGCTAAAGGTTATTTGAGAAAGAGTGATAAATGCAATAGGTGTATGAGTTTAGTGTTTATTCTTCAACCTATGTGCTTGTTAAGATGTTGCATTATAAATCGTATGAAATCATGAATTTTGATTGTTGATTCAAGCTTAATTGTAAAATCTTTGGTTCATGGTTATACTTTAATGCATGCTTGTTATATTATAGATGGATTTATCTTCTTTTTATTGCAACACATGACTTGATATATATGTATGCTAAGCCCTTGAATATTAATAAACATAATTCCTATGCTTGATGAAATCATTGTCAAAAGGAGGAGAAGTAATGTGAAAATTTTTGGATTTTTGGAGAAGCAAGGTGAATTTTTGACGAGTTGTTGAGAAGAGCATGTTTTTTTTTGGGTTCATGAGGGAATTTCTTTCTTTTAAAAAGGGGGAGAAGTTTTCTTCTGGATTTTCGAGCACGATGTGTACTTTTGTACGAAGTGTGCTTTTTACCAATTTTGTTTTTATTTTTCCAAACACCAAAACATTTTTGATGGATTTGCCAATGTGTTCATCAAGGGGGAGATTGTAAAATCAAATGTGTTTTTGATTATTATTCTGTGATGAACAATTGGGCATTGGAGATTATTGGTTTTGTTATTTGGAATTTATTTACGAAGTGGTTTTGGAGATGATTGGATTTACAGGTGAATCGTAGGTTCGTTATTTTATGTGACCGGTCAGACCGGGCTGTGTATGCCGGTCAGACCGGCGGTGATCAAGCGGTCGGACTGGCCAGCCCGCGGTCTGACCGGCCGACGCTATGTCGGTTTCGGTTTCGGGTTGTTTATTTGGATATCTGTGATTATTTTATGATTATGGCTTCTAGATGGATACTATACGTATGTAATACTGTTGTTTGCTACTAATGAGTCAAGTTGGAGATAGCTTGGTCTCAGAATATGGTTACTTTGTTTATTTCATGTGTAGGTGACTCGATGCCTCGGGAGAGTATTTACGGTGATGGACCGGGAGTCGGCTTGGGGATAAGACGACGTCCGTGGTGGTCAGAGATCATGCGAGATACTTAGGCTAGAGTTGATGCACGTGGTTGGTGGAGATTCCATATGGCATACAATGGAGGTATTGTGTGCGTATGGGATGCGGAGTCGAATTTGGAAGGAGTCCAAATTTGGTACGATTGGTTATGTAAAGTTTGTGTCTTGTACTAGAGGGTTTTCTAAGGTGTTTAAGACTCCTAGTATGAGTTTGGTTCGTGGCTGTAGGCTGCCTACCTCATGTATAAATAGAGGGGGAGCGTGAGGCTTCCCGGTATCGCTTTTGAGAGCAATTGAGTTGAGTTTTGAGTTAGGGTTTCGAGTTTAGTCGAAATTTTTGTAAGGAGTGCTGTTGGTGCACTTTGTAAATACAGAGATAATCAATAAAGTCGTCATCCACTTTAAGAGTTCTTCGATTTGTGTTTCACCGAGTTTCGGCAGTCCAACCGGCGATATACCGGCGGTCAGACCGGCGGCATACGGGCGATCAGACCGGCGGCGGCGACAGGCGCGGCAGGTGACATCGGCGGTCAGACCGGCGGCATCCACACGGTCAGACTGACGATCAATCTCGGTCAGACCGACTTCCGTCGATTTCGAGGGTAACTTTTATTTCCGCTAAAAGTTTTCGGTTTTTAGGTATACCAACCATTCACCCCCCCTCTGGTTGTCTTAGTTCTTGTGTTTTGATCCTACATAATCCTTCTACTTAACGGACAATCTCTACTACTTCCTCCGTTTTATATTATAAGACTTCCTAGAATTGCCCATATTTACATAGATATTAATGTGTCTAGATTTATTAATATCTATATGAATGTGGACAATGCTAGAAAGTCTTATAACCTGAAACGGAGGTAGTATTTCAAAGTGAGTCGTGGTGGTCTCTGTTTTTCCTTTGTAATTAAATAATAGATCTAAACAAATTTCCAATGAGCTGCGAAATTTCCAGCTAACTGTGCTGTTTCTACTAGTAATACGACTTATTAGATGGTCTGAAACTCTGAATTTGTTTTTCTGAAAGGTCTGAAACTCTGAATTGATAAAAGATAGTATCACGTTTACTAAGTAGGCAGCCTACTGGGCAACCTACCATGTCCCCTACGTCATTTCCCAACAATCTGCACCAACAAAATCTAACAAAAAAAGAAGAAAAAGAAAAAGAAGACATCGAGACAGACATATCAACCCAACCACCATCAAGTCCCCGACTCTCTCTACCACGTCTATACGCGTGCAAACCGCAAAGCATATATACACCTACACTGCACTGCACTGCATTGCACGTACCCAACCGATCGAAATCGCACCACCAAGATTACCATTTCACATTTCGCAATGGCAGCCGTAGAAGCAAACGCCGCAACGACCCACCATGAAATCACCACGGCCGCCGCCGTCACCGCCGGAGAGCGGCAGCAGCTCAACGCCGGCGGCGAGGACGACAAGAATATTGGGATGATCGTGACTGACGACGATGACGAAGACGAAGACGACGAGCTGTTCGAGCTCGACATCGCCCTCATCGACCACCGTGACGGCGAAGAGTACTACACCAAGCGCCTCGTGACGAGCAGCTGTTGCGTCGCTGTCGCCGCCGCAGCCGCCGCCGCCGACGACGACGACGAAGAAGACGGCGGTGACGCGCTCCTAGCCAACTGCCTGCTGCCGGTGAGCTCGGTCAGCAGGGCGGTGCCGGTGACGGCGAGCAGCAGCTTCGTCGTCGTCTCGTCGTATCCCGTTGGCCGCCGCTACCACGGCGGCGGTGGGTGCGGCGACGACGACGACGACGACGCTAGCTGGAGGTGGAGGAGGTTCTTCTTCACGTCCGGCGGCGGTGGCAGGACGCGTATTGGCCGCCACAACAGCAATAACTCTGCGAGGTTCTCCTTCTCAAGATTCCAAAGCTTGGCAAATTTTCAGCGATACTGATGAACGAATATGTTCTACTGATTCAAAGGGGCAAGAAAGAGAGATGAAATTTGACGTGTATATATAGCCGATGTACAGATTGAGTTTCTGGGATTGAAATTTTGTACTAGCTAGCTTAGATAGGGAAACTATTTTAACAGCTCGAGTGGATGTCCACCCGTTTATTGCATGTCATCTAAATGGTTATAAAAAAAATTAAAAAAATATGAATAAGATAGATCAATATGTAATGTATCAATCCACAAACATACAATTTAAAATTCAACTTCTACAGATTGTAACAAAAATAACAAACAAAACTCAAATTACTATATGTATATTTACAGTTAAATTTGTTATTTTTGTTACAACTTGTAGAAATTGAATTTTAACTTGCATGTTTGTGGAGTGATATATTACATATTGATCTATCTTACCAATTTTTTTGAAAATTTTTCGTAGCCATTTAGTTGACATGCAATAAACAGGTGTACTTCCACTCGAGCTATTAGAATCCATCCCAGCTTAGATATGGTACCAATCTTATCAAATTGTGCAAAATTTTCAGTTGTTTGGAATTAAGGGCATTTGTGATTTTACTGGACAAAATTTATGTCTGTTACTTCAAGCTTTGCCCGGCAATTGTACAAAATTATTCTAAATGTAAATTTAAAATTAAACTTAATTTAAGTTAGTATCTTTTTGTGGTAACCGCCAGTTTAGAGCGTGATTGACCATTCAGGTCAAGAGAAGAGAATGTGCGGTGGTTGACTGGTCCATATGTGGCCAGTTGAATCGGATGCCCACAAAAGAAGCCCACTTAGGCCTTCTCTGTATAGGCCGAAATTTTGGCCCATATACATTTGAGGGCCGAACCAAATGAGGCCTCAATTGCAAATTTACTTTTACAATGTGCGGCCCAAGCCTACTACTGGTAGACATACGCTCCGCTTGTTGAATAAGTACGGTGTACGGCCACCTCGCCGTCGCGGCCACGGCCCCTCTCCTCGGCGAGCACGCCGCCGCCCGCGGCGGCGGGATATCCCCTGTAGATGACCACACGGTGATCGTCTCCGCCGGCCCGGGACGACTTCCACGGCGAGCCAGGTGAAGCGGGTGAGGATTCTCTCGGCCTCGGCCTCGGCCAACCCATCCCCATCTGATTTTACAGTTCATTGTTACCGCATCATTCTGTTTGCTGCACCTGCGCTCTCTGCTACTCTGCTGCTGGTCCGACTGTTTCTGCGCAGGAGATTTGGGATTTCCAGCAGATTACACGAGTATGCTTCAAATTTCTCATCATGTTGTGCTAATGGGGTACAGCCTGATTAGCAATGGGGGTACACTTGTTTGTGTAAATTGGGATTAGATCCGAATCCAATCCGATTTCTAGGGAGGTTGAGATTTATGAAATGATATTCATCTAGAATCAAGTTCTTAGAGGGAAATGTTGTGATTCAATGGGAAAAGGGGAAATAGTGGAGGAGAGCTCATAGCCTGATAGTCAGATTTTTTGCAAGAATGTGTACATGCTACAGAATGGATTATTGCCGGCCGTTTGGATGTTCCTCTGGATCACCGACAATTTCATATGGGTGTTCCTCTGGATACAATGGGTACATCCCTTTTATGTCATGTTTTTAGGAATGTGGTAGCAGGCTAGCGGCGCTGGTGCAATACAGTTAGGAGGGTCAGGAGGGTCTTTGTTTGTCCTTCTACAAGGTGACACAACAAGATCTAACAAACTTCATGTCCAGCAGATCGCGTGTCAACAAAAGTGCACATCTTGTGGAGCCAGAAAGTGCATTTGGTGGATAAAGCTTTTTTTGCCAGCTAGCCCCTGTATCAGTTATAGATTGCTAATATTTGCATGTGAATGCACTGGTATTTATCATGACTCTCAATCTTCTTACAAAAACAATCCATTACTTAATTTTTGATACGGGAAACAATCTGACACTGATACAATCTGTCAAATGCATTTGGTTTATTGTAGATTTTCTTGAGGCAAATGACGTAATGATGAAGCCTTGATCCACAATCTAGTGATGTGGCAGATAATGTAGACGACAGGAGAAACTATTGGATGGTTTTTATTTATCACAGCGGGGATAATGACAGCTGGAATTTTTTAGCGTCTCCTGGCAGCAGTCTCTCTCTGAGCATTGAAGTAGACAGCAGCGACAGGAAGGCCAAGTTCGTTCTCCTCAGCAAACTGGCGTGTATTGAAATGATCCCTAGAGGATGGCACAACTACAGCCTGCCTACGCTTCTGCTTGAAGAGCACAAAAACGAACCTGTGGATACCAATGCTGGGCTTTGGGCTCTCATAGCTTATGATTTCCCGTCCTGCAATTCAAATGCCAGAAAGATGCATATTAAGAACAAATACATGCAAGCATGGAATGATCTAATGCAGGTTAGGGAGAGGACCTACCAAAAGAGGCATCCGTTGTTCCAGGTATATCAGTTACAATCCTGCATAAATATTAAGGGTAAAATTTAATGATTTGGCCACACCATGGTCATTATCTGTTCAGAAATATATTGTTTTTTGGAAGAAATATTTTTCTTATTAGAAATATGATGTTTTGTATGAAAACAAGAAAAATATGTGGTATTAGACTACTAGTGCCATCTCCATCAGAAACATAAATTTTATAGTGAATCAATAATCACCAATTGGACACAAATGTATAGATTTTGGATAAGAAGTGTTGAAGGTTACCAATGTAGGTGTTCCCTTAGATATGGATCACTTGGTCCTGGCACATCTGGGTCTGTCATAACCTGAAGCATTCCGAGTTATGGTTAATAGGGGGGGGGGGGGGAGAGTATGAAATGCACTGAAAGCTAACTATGGAACTCCCAGGATAGAGTTAGACCAGTCCGTACCAATGTGAAGAAAGAACGCATATCACCCCCTTGGACCTCGACTCTTGGTTTAGATACAACTGCTGATGGGTAGAACTCATGGCCATTAAAGACAAGCTTGTTTGAATTGTAGGTTACTATCATCTTCGTACATGGGTTGAATGAATCAATAACTTCTCCGATCACCCGCCCAACAACAAGAGGCTCCACAGACCTAGACATGGTTGGAGCCTTGGAGGGACAGGTAATTATATTTTCCGAAATTAGTGCTCTGGCTAGTTGTAAATGACAAAACCTAGTGCACTTCAATGTGCCCTTGGTTGCTTATTGGGCATTGTAGAGTGATGAGCCTCTATTTATAGTGGCAAGAAGCATGCTGTCTTCTTTCAAGTTGTAGACTTGTAGGGATATATGATAGAATTTTCCACCAGAATCATAAGATATGTATGAATGTGCATATTTGTTTGATCTTATTTATACATATTCCTCTATTCCAGGCCTTCTTTTGATTATTTATAATTTTATATGCATGTCCTGAAGATTAAGAAAACACTTACTTTTTTATTTGATTGAAATTAAATGTTTTTAAAGTAATTTTATTTTTCTTGTTATTTTGGATATCAACTCTGGACACAAACTTGACCATTAATTTATCTCACTATATGTTAGTAATATATTGATATGACAGGTTTTTAATTATCAGTCCTATTAATACCATTTTACATGACAAATCCAATTACCCTTTTTTTATTGTAGCATAATCTAAATCTTACTAGGATAGATTGCAATCATTCTAAATTATCATTAAAGAAAAACAGAGGGAGTATCATAGATCACTACCTATGTTATTTCTTTATGAAACATAAGACACTTCAGGCAAGGAGATCTCTGAAGATTATGTTGCTGAATTTATGTTATAGTGGTGGGAAAAGGGGCTCATGACCCTATATGTAAGGCCTGCATGACAATGCAGTCTGCAGAATTTTTGCACACTATCAAATTGTCATGTAATTTCTATACTTTTCTAAAGAAAAACAGATGAGCTATTATACAAATTTATTTTTTAGTTTTTTGGCAATAAATTGACAGATGGGTTTTGGGGATGGAGCTGCAAATAGCCACAAATACCTTACCGAAAAGAAACATGTAGATAAAATTTCCCACTTTTAGGAGGTATGCAATTGTGGATAAAATGAGAAAAAAAAAGAAAAGGAAAGGGACTATAATCCTTCTGGAGTGATGCCGTTCACCTACTCCCTCTGTCCCAACAAGAATCAATGAATCTGGACAAACACTTGTCCAGATTCATTGTCCTAGGATAGGTTATACTAAGTTGATTCTTTTTGGGACGGAAGGAGTAAAATACAAATTCATTCTTGATTGCTAGATTTGATGTTACACTACGGAAACATAAAGGCTTGGCTTGCTGAGATTCTTATCCTACTGTTTTCAATGACCTTCTTTTGTTATCTATGAGGCAGATGCACTCTACACTGTCTGCGTGGAAGCCTATCAACCCCCAAATGTTTGTCGTTAGCAGCCTTGTTTGTCTGGGTAAGTCTCACGTAGCTTCTTCTTTTTCTGTTAACAAAAAGCAAGCTATGGAGTTGAAATGCTGTTGGAATTTTTCTTTCTCAAACTGTGATACCAACTGGATTATACCATTATTATCTGTTTACTCTCTTCCTTGGAGTGCTATGGCAGCACAGCAAGGAACAGAATAAACGAATGAGGTGCAGCGCCGCACTGCTGCCACCACTTCACCGTGTGGGGGTACTGTCTAGTGCTGAGATGTCACTTCACTGATAAAAAGATCATAGGTTCTTCTTGATTGAGGAATTAAAAATACTTCTATATTGCCATAAGTAGTGGAGCCAAGTACAGCCTTTTGCACTGTGCTCTTTTGGTCTAGTGCTATCATATTTGCTTGACATTTTGTGCAAGTAAAAATACTGTAGTCAAGTACACCTTGGCAGCATTTTTCTACTCCTAATGCCATAATATTTGCTTGACACAGCTGATTTAGTGGAACCTCATAACTGTTGGCTGTAACTAATGGTAACTTATCTGTGATGTAGACTAGCAGTGCACCTTTAGCTTGGTGTGCTGACTTGTCACTAGTGGTCAGGACAGGCGTGCAAGGTCAGCTGTGAGTTATCATTGTATTTCTTAGACGAATATTTCTTCAGCTGTTTTGTAACAGGTAATTCTCCACTAGTCACAGAAGATTAAAATTGCTTATCAATATTGTTCTGCTTCGCTAATCGGTTTGTATAACCCTTACACACCATAAGCACTTTCCACTTCCATGCAGACAGTGATGTTTTCTGTTTGCTGTCAAAATTGTTATTGGGTAAAAAGGAGACACCCACTGAGCCAGAAGATGCACAATGGTAAGCTACCTGATCTAACTTTTTTATGACTAAGTTGCCTGAATTCATATTGGTGGGAAGATCATTGTGGGACAATGCAGGTAGGAAATCAGATATTCAGATCATGACAGGGTGACTCTAGAGGAAGCCATGCCCCAAAGAATCTCTATTAGATCAATGTGTCGCTGCTTGATTGAGTATGAGTCAGCTCACAAGATTACACTCAATGTGAATTTTGGCTATCTTTTTTGTTTCTTTGAAATTGATTTCAATTCCGTTTATCAGTGGTGTGGTCAATGGCCAATAGATACTGATATCATAGGTTGCTCCAATCAGTAAATGCTGATAATTTTCAATAGGTTCCTCCAATCCGTAAATGCTGATATTTTTCATCTTCCAGAATAATATTTCATTATTCAATTACCGTATCCTGATGCACATTTCACTTGTTCACCCAGCTCCAGAACTTTGGCAGCAGTCAGTTAACTCCAGTCGTTATTGAACTTCCTTTGTCTGTACTAGTTTTCTGAAAATTGGCCGTTTCATGTTGCACTCAAATCCAAAAGTATGTTTTTTTGGTTGACGATCTGCACTAGCTATGGTCAAGTTTTATGACTTTATCTCTTTATTCGAGTGTTTGATTGACAAAATGTGTGAAATGTTACAGATCTAAGATCTAACTAGACATCCAGTGACCGTATTTCCTGCATTTCTTGCTTTGCAGAAGGTGAACAAACAGATTTGCTGCTCAAATTCAGAGCACTTGGCAGTTCGCACAAGTGAAAGAGGTTGTTGCTGGTTCAGGTAATCAGGTCCCAGTTTTGGGCCGTATATGAGCCCCTGACAAGTTGTCGACATCGATGAGAGATCTTTCCATTTCAGTTCTTCAAGCACTCTACCCGCTTGGGAAACATCAGTCTGGTTCAGTTTGCTGTCAAAACTACCCATATCAAAATTTAGTAATGCCAAACTTTGATATTATTAAATTTCAGTTTTGTATGTATTTGGTTTGTGCCCTCACCAAATTTTCAAGTGTTTTTATGAGAGGAAACTTCTGAAAATTCTGAAGCTGGGTAGAGTGGCATTAGTATGAATATGTTTAGCCAGCATTTGGTAATATCGAAATTTAGAATGGATGAAAGCGGTAACAACTAACAAACCGAACAAGCCCATGGTCCCAACTCCCAAACCTTCATGAGTGAAGAAAGGGAATAGTAATTTGTAAAAAATGTATTGACTGCTGGTGAGGATATCTTGTTCTGAATGCCTGACACCAATTGCACGCCTATGCTTACCTGCACTGAAATGCGACATGACAAGGCGTTCTTGATGAAGCACAGGATGAGAAACACAAGAATGCAGGACAGCTGATGGCATGCTGTCCAGCGCAAACTGTCAGTACGCACCCAGATAATGGTATTTTCGTAACATCAATAAACCAGAAAAAAATTCAAGCTATCTGCAAAACATAGTTGAAAATAATTTTAAAAAATGGATTTTCATCCTTAAAGAGACATTCACTTGTTTCTTGTAATTGTATGCCACCTAAATAGTCATAAAAAATTTAAAACATTTAACAACATAGATTAATATGAAAATATATCACTCCACAAATATGTAAGGTCAAATTTAGTTACAAGTTGCAATAAGAGAACAATAAACTATTAACTAAAATAGTTAATGTACATTCGCAGTTATATTTATTATAACTTATAAAAGTTAAATTTAAACTTGCATGTTTGTGGAATGATATATTTCATATTAATCTATTTTATCAATTTTTTAAAAAATATTTAGGTGAAATGTAAAAAAGAGGGAATATCTACTCAGAGAATAAAAACACTTTCAAAAAAAGAGTATGAAATTATGCGCGTGGACAACATTATGAAAGGAATAAAGTTAAGTAGGAAACCTGAATGCAAACGTGGTTGCGTGGCATTGGCAGCAGCTCCTCTCAGTCCTTACCAACCAGAGCATCATCACCTCTACATCTCCATTTTCACAGTACTGGAGATATGTTCTCAACAACCTAAAAGTAACTTTCGCTCTATTGATGGAACTTAAGGGGGTATTTAGATCTAGCGGCGTAAAGTTTGGCGTAAAGTTTTGACGTGTCACATCGGGTATTATATAGGGTGTTGCATAGGGTATTCGGACACTAATAAAAAAAACTAATTACAGAATCCGTAGGTAAACAGCGAGACGAATTTATTAAGCCTAATTAATCCGTCATTAGCAAATATTTACTGTAGTACTACACTGTCAAATCATGTAGTAATTAGGTTTAAAAGATTTGTCTTGCAAATTAGTCATAATCTGTGCAATTAGTTATTTTTTTTAGTCTATATTTAATACTTTATGCAGGTGTTCAAACGTTCGATGTGACAGGGTGCAAAATTTCGGGGTGGGATCTAAACATAGCCTAAAAACAGAACATTCACAACATCAAATTACATCTGCAGAGAGATCGCTCGCTACATGGATTGTCGTGCGAAAAGCTAGACCAAACGGAGTGTCGGTACACCACGACAGTGCACGAATGGTGGGAAGCGACAACAAACATGGAGAATGTGCCAAAACGCATGTGCTCCTAGGAGATTTGGAAGGAAAGAAACGAGAAAATCTTTCAATACAATGAGCTCTCATCTATAGTTTTATTGGCAAAAATTAAAGAGAAGTCAAAACATAGGCGCTAGTAAGAGCCAGTGTCTATTTGTTTTGCTGTTTAAGGATAACCCTTTTACAACTTTTTCATGTCAACACCTGTACAGAAATTTACTTCAATTCTATTCAATTGAAATTAGCAACTTGCCGATTCACTAAAAAAAAACATTTACAGGATATAAGCAAATATCTCAATCTAGATACAACCATGTAGAGGCAACAGTTTATGTTGCTTACAGCCACAGATCACAGGCTCAAGCAAAGAATCTCAATTAAATAAAGAAGCAAATAAAGTGACCAAAATGGGTCCATGCAATGATGGGTACAGACTACCAATGGAGTAAACAACAGCCAATATTGCATCTGCTTTGCACAGCCACAGGGACCTGGAACTCTGGAAGATAGCTGCTGCTGCTGCTTCTTCTCCTCCATTGCCATCTATCACCTCACCTGAGCTGAAATCAAGAACTGGATCTAGGAGAAGGTCATGGTTCCAAGGATACTCATCGTTCTCCTGGTTGTGCTGCTTGGATTGGCATTCCAGGCAATTCTCCGGCCACCACCTCAAAAATTGTGTGGCTCACCCGGTGGACCTCCTGTGACATCTCCAAGAATCAAGCTCAGAGATGGAAGATATCTTGCTTACAGAGAAGATGGAGTTCAGAAAGACAAGGCCAAGTTCAAGATCATCAGTGTCCATGCGTTTGATTCCACCAAGGACTTCCCCTTGCAGGTTTCTAAGGTAAATGCAAACATCACGAACAGTTAGATTTGAGAAAAAAAAGTCATCTTTTTTTGTCCATGTTTTCTTTTAGATTTTTCATGCTTTTCTGAATTGATTGCTTAGTTTGTCTGTCGAAATTCAGGAACTGGTGCATGAACTGGGAATCTACATTGTTGGTTTCGACAGAGCAGGGTATGGGGAAAGTGATCCGAATCCTAAGAGGGATGTGAAGAGTGAGGCTTTGGATATTGAGGAGCTTGCTGACCAGCTCGAGCTTGGACACAAGTTCTATGTGTTGGGAGTGTCCATGGGAGGATACTCAATTTGGGGATGCCTTCAGTACATACCAAACAGGTAAAGACTGAAACTGCAATAAGTAATAATGCTAAAATGGTAGTAGTGCTCTCGGTCAAAAACCATATGTGGCTTGACATTTTCTCGGTTAAACTTTTGAAACTATAACTATCATTAAAAATTTTGATACTACTACTTAATTTAGAAATATAAAAATGACATGTGTGGATTAAAATTTCTTTCATAAATCTTATACTACTAATTACTCTCTCCGTCCCAAAAAATAAGTACTTTTGGACCTTGACATAGTCTCCAAGATGCTACTTTGATCAATAATATAGATATTTTAAATAAAAAGAGTTGTATATTATAATATTTTGTTTAATAATAAATCTAGTAACATCAATTTTACATTATTGAACTTTTTTATTATTTTGCTATTAATAGTCAAATTAAAAATATTTGATTTGTCACTATGCTAAAAATGTTTATATTTTGGGACGGAGGGAGTAGATTTTATAAACTCGTCCTAACAAAAAAGTGTGATCAACGTCGCACCGTACAGACCCAAAAAAACTGATATTCGCAACTCTTCACTATATATACTGTGTACCTATGTGCAGGCTTGCAGGAGCTGCCATGGTTGTGCCAATTATCAACTACTGGTGGCCTTCATTCCCAGCTGAGCTATCCAGGCAAGCCTTCAAGAGGCTCATCGTGCCAGAGCAGAGGACACTCTGGATTGCACACAACATGCCATCTTTGCTCTACCAGTGGATGACCCAAAAGTGGCTCCCTTCTTCTGCGGCAGCCATGCGCCACCCTGAAATATTCAGCAAGCATGATTTGGAGGTTCTTCAGAAGATGATGGCAATGCCTCTCATTGAGGTAAAATCAGATTGTTTAACCCTTATGAACCACCACTTATGCGTTTTTAAGAATGGTTTTGAATGAATTTTGCATTATTATAGTAGATTTCAAAAAATCGCTTGATTTACACTAATGTGGTCCAGTTTGGGTACATGAAAAAAAAAATCAAGAAGAGAAAATAAACTGAAAAGTGGAACATGTTATATGCAAATTAACCTAAAATAATACTATCGCAAACCATAAATACCACTATCGGTTTAGATTTGTTTTTTTAAAGAGCAATTGTTTGGAATGTTGACATATATATATCACTGATTGCTTCTTGATTTTTCAGAATAAATCTAGGCAGCAAGGCATTTATGAATCAACACATCGTGATTTGCTTGTTGCTTTTGGAAAGTGGGAGTTTGATCCAATGAATATTACCAATCCATTTCCTCAAAATGAGGGTTCTGTACACATCTGGCAAGGTTATGAAGACAGGTTGGTGCTGGTTGAGCTGCAACGGTACATTGCCCAGAGGCTTCCTTGGATCCAGTATCATGAATTCCCTGAAGGAGGACACATGTTCATGCTGGTAGATGGATGGACTGACAAAATCATCAGAGCGCTCTTGGTTGGAGAACAGCTCTGAAGTCTCATCAAATCATTCTGTGCTTGTTAGCTTATCATCGATAGCCAAAAGTTAAAATTTCAAACTTATTAATTCTAGAGTTGATTTTACATTTTCTATATGATACTCGCTCTGTTTCATTTTCATCTTAACTTTTTTCTTATTCAAACTTTTTTAAGTTTGATCAAATTTATAAAAAAAATTAACAATATTTACAACATCAAATTAATTTCATTAAATGAAACATTGAATATATTTTGATAAATATGTTTATTTTGAATTAAAATTGTTGCTGCATTTTTATATAAATTTGGTCAAACTTAAAAGGTTTGAGAAAAAGAGTCAAAGCGACTTATAATATGAAACGGAGGGAGTAGTGTATTTTGTAGAATTGGTTTTTAAGTCGTAAATAAGTTTTACCTATAAATTATTTTTACTACTTTATTTATTTTTTTTTATAGATCGTCAGCCATCGCTCAAACGATTCGACACTCGAGGGTAAAATTTACTTAAAAAAATGTACACAAAGGGTAACATTACACGCATTTATATAGTCAACTATATTTTGCAGTTTTAGTAAAACTTGGAGTAATCCAAACTGGAGCTAGTGGCCAATTCAGCCACGGCTGAGGATACTCCACATCGATCGCAGTGTCATTCGTATAATCATAAACTCCAACGTCCCGACGAAGATGTTTACGGTGAACCAAGTACCCGTAGTCATCGTCGAAATATATGTGATTTGGCATCAAGTGTGGATAATCCTTCACTGGCAAGCACATCGAGTAACTAGTGCCAATAAACAATGCATTGTTACCTATGTCATCGACGTCATCAAGATCTTGCTTCTTGTAGTCAACCTTGTACACCCCGATTTCAGTTGTTCGTACGTCCTTATGCTCGCTACCTTCATCTTCTTCCGTGACTCGCAAGACCTGCAGGATGTCACCTTCCGTGGTACGTACAATGTAGAGGGTGCCCAATTCACCCATGGTCGGCTTGAGAATCAGTCTATGGGTGAAGGAGGAAGAAGCACTGACGACATCAATGGCGTGGATGGCGCCGTGAACGGTCTGGGCGTAGAACACGCCGTCGTGGTAGATGCAATCTTCGAACCACTCACACTCATTGTTCCCCATCTTGATCCATGTCCACTTCTTGTCGCCGGATCTCGCGAAGGAGAGCTGAAGATATGGGTGATGGATGAGCATCACCGTGTAGTCGTCGCCGCGCGATGGGTCGGAGGAGATGACGGCTTTGAGATACAAGAACTCCCTGAACGTCTCCGGCGGGTGCGTCACCGTGTGCATGTCATCGTCGTTGCTCCGGTGACTGTTGCCGCCGCCGTCGTAGTAGACCAACTTGTAGTTGTTGAGGTTCCCGGCGTCGTCGTAGAGTGGCCTTACGTGTTCGATGGTGGCGACGGGTGGGAGGTCGAGCTGCTCGCCTGTGGCCGGGTTGAGGAGGTGGAGCTCGGAGCGGTGGTCGGCGGTGACGAGCCAGCCGTGGGATGACCCGACGATGTGGCGCTCCGCGATGGGCGGGTCCGGGAGGGGGACCGTGTAGGACGTCGTCTTGTCGGCGAGGCTGTAGAGCACGGCGGCGCGCGGGCCGGCGGCGGCGGTGGTGTAGAGGAGGCAGGGCGTCTGCGCGCGGGAGTAGAGGCCGAGGCGGCGTATGTCGCGGGCGGTGGCGCGCCAGAGCTTGCAGACGGCGGCGGAGCGGAACAGGTCGGGGAACTCGAGCTCGAGGAGGACGAGGCCGAGCACGTCGGCCGGAAGCTCCGACCAGTCGGCGGCCGCCGGAGTGTCCATGGAAACAGATCGATTAAGCGTCGATGAAGGCGTACGTACGTGCCGCGTGCCGCCAGATCATCCGCTAAAATAAAGCAGCGCAACTGATCGACGCGGATCAGATCGGAGTAGAAACCGAACAGGTTTCAGAAATCTCTATCTCTATCTCTTCCCTATCTCTACTCTCTATCTCTATCTCCTCTCCACTACCTAAAAAATTAGAGAAATTTCCGTGTCTGTGTGCTAAAAAAAAATGCGAAAAACTTTTTCTGTCCGATTGAAAAAGAAAGTGCAAAAAAGGATTTCCGTTTTCCGTTAAAAAAAGGAAAGAAAGATTTCTGTACCGAAAAAACAAGCGCTAAAAAAAGGCGAAAAATGTGCGAAAAAAATATTTCCGTCCGATTTAAAAAAAATACTGTCGTCCGTGGCCAAGAAAAAGCAAGCGCGAATTTTTTCTGTCCGATTAAAAAAAAGTGTGAAAAAAGGGTTTCCATCTCTTAAAAAAAGGAAAAAAATATTTCTATCCGATATTTTTAGATTCTTAAAAATAGTACGTATAAACCGATCCTCAAGAAAAAGGTTAATGGAAAAAAAAAGTTCTCGTGCAACGTTTAAAAAAATGTCTGATTCCATAAATACCGTCAAAGTAGATTTGGAAATTTAAAAGCGAATTCAATTTTCCCCTTTCGAATTACTTTTTTTATGCATTCAAATTATCATATATTAAAATCCACCTTAAGATGTCGAAGTTTATATAAACCGCACGAGAAAAAAAAAGCCCTATAAAAACGCTCTGAACAAATTGTTAGAGTAAAACACCTTTATAAAAAAAGATAATAAAACCATCTGACCCAATGCGAGGAAAAAACCATCTTTTCTGAGAAATCTGTATAATTACACGTGAAAAACATCACTATTTATAAAACAACAGCTTTGAAATAACCATGTGACTCAAAGCGAGAAAAACACCACCATTTATTTTAAAAAAAGCTAGAAAAACACCACCGTTTATTAAAAAAAAAAACTGGTTCGGCACTGTGCAATGCAAAAATGTCCGAATTTAGAAAAAATGCATCTGATTCGTTTCATGATTCGTAGCATTTGTATCGTCCATAGTCTACCATGTTCTGGCATCTGGAACTAAGACAAGTCTTGCTTGTGCCTTTTTTTTTTCTGAGCACAAGATCAAATTGATGGACGTTTAGGTCTGATAGAATCCATCGATTTTTTCCATCTCCAACACGGCTTTTGTTTCCTCATCTATTCTCCTATAAATTATCATACTACTATAGCTACTATTCTTTATAACATATTATATGAAAATAATATTAAAAGGTAAATATGTTATAAATTGATATTTAGAGAAGAGTGCACGGTGGCTTTTTTTTTAGACTTGACCATGCGAGGCAGTGTAGGATTTTGATTCATCATATTTTTTATTGCAAGAATAGGATTGAAAGAGTATTTTAGATTATGGCCATGTTTAGTTCCATGCCAAAATTGAAAGTTCAAAAAAATTGGAACGATATGATGGAAAAGTTGAAAAACTGTGTGTAAGAAAATTCGATGTGACAGAAAAGTTGAAGGCTTGAATAAAAAAGTTGAAATCTAAACAAGCCCTATATGCATGTTGTCACATGAATAATCCAACTTTTTTGGGCAAAGCAAAGCATTAGTAAGATTGCCATCGTCGAGGTTGGGCCATTTATGGAAGATGTTCTATTTTTCCTTATGATATGTCTTAGCTACAACAATCAATACAAACATTATTATTCACATGGTTATTTATGAAAAACATATATTATCATTGGAATTTTTCACCCGTTGCAACGCACGGGCAGTTTTGCCAGTACTACTTAAAAAAAAGATATGTTTTCTTCGATCGTCAAAAAAAAATAGCTAGAAAAATAAAAAAAAAGTCCGACCCCTAGATCCTATTCCCTCTCCACTCCTCTCGTTTTCAATAGATACCGTGATATCCCATATATCTTGGTGAAAAGAATTGATGTGCCGGATTGAACATCCGTTTGCAAAAACGAAATCTACAGGTCGAGAGCATTCCATTTTTATATGATTTTAATTTTTGGGTTTGTACTTTTGTATTTGATTCCATATAATTTTTATATTTACATTTGAGTCCCTATAATCTTGCAATAAGATACTTGAGATCGTTTTAGTTAAAAAAATAATAAAAGGGTGAGAAAAGACAGAAAGGTGCATAAAAAGAAAAAGAAAAGCCGCATAAAAAAAAGAAAAACAACAACAACAAACGTAGATCCGAACGGAAAAGAAAAATCTGATTCCTATAAAAGGAAAAAAAAGTGGTGGAAAAAAAAGCTAGATCCGATTCCTTTAAAAAGGGAAAAAAAGTTTTATTCCTATAAAGGCGAAAATAAATAAAAACATCTAAAAAATTCGTCCGATTCCCTAAGAAAGTGGCGAAAAAATGCTTCGTAAAAAATAAAAAGCTGGTTCGTATAAAATAAAAAATGCACGCGAGAAAAAAAAAGAAAAAGGCGAAACAAAGTCCGATTTCTAACCGGTATATATCTATTCTCTATCTCTAATCTAATCTAACTATTTAAAAATAGAAAATGCATGAGAAAATAAAAATGGTTCAAAAAACGTGTGAGAAAAAGTCAGAAAAAAGCGCAAGAAAAAACACGCTAATAAGGTTTTCCATCTTCCTAAAAAAAATTAAAAAATGGGTGAGAAAACTTATTTCCATTGTCGGTAAAAATTTTTTTAAAAAAAACATGCGAGGAAAAAGCTGTCAGAAAAACCGCGCCATTTTTAAAAAAATGGTTTGAAAAAACCGTGCAAGAAAAAAAAACACCATCTATTAAAAAACAAATCACTCTGAAAGTACTGTCCAAAAAACGCTAAATTGATGGACGCTTGAGTCGGATAGGATCCATCGATTTTTGCCATCTACTACACGGCTTTTATTTCGCCATATATTCTCCTGTATTGGAAAAAAGTAAAAAAGAACATTCGAAAAAAAGCAAAAAATACGCGCGAGAAAATAATTGTCAGAAAAAACAGGCAAAAAAACACACGAGAAAAGAAAAGCAAAAAAGGGAGAAAAATATGGTTTTCATCGTCAGTGAAAAAAGAAAAAAAAACATGCTAGAAAAAAACTGTTAGAAAGAAATGCGCCATTTCTGGAAAATGATTAGAGAAAATCGCGCAAGAAAAAAAAACCATTTATAAAGAAACAAGTCGCTCATTAAAATACAAACATTGTCATTGACATGATTATGCATGAAAAAAGTATATTATCATTAGAATTTTTTTCACTCGTTGCAACGCACGAGCATTTTTCT